AGTGTGTTAGGTTGACTAGCAATAGGGGGAACTGAAATGAAATTAAGAAGAATAAAATTCCTAGAAAAAAGTGACCTTGAAAATTTAAAACTAATATGTGCTGAAATCAAAATAGGGTACAAGCAAGTGATTGCATGACTGGGAGAGCCTACCTGTATCAGTAGAAATAATGGGGGGAGCAGAACATAGCTCTGATCAACTGAACTCTTCTGTTAAAGTGATGTCTGGGAAGTTACATGGTTAAGGAAGATTGAGATAGAATTTGTAACTTACAAATACACTAAGCTAAGAATAACACTGCTTTATGAAAACACTGGAGTTCTCAAAGCATTCTCCCCAGAAATGTATTTGTTTTCAGTGAGGCCAATTTTGTAGGAAAAAAGTTCCGGAACCCCACAAATTCTAGATGTGCCTGGAAATGATATGATGGCATGTTCTACAGACAACCAGTCTAAACAGATACTGGCACACCATTCTGGTGAAGAAATTTTTCCTAATATCCAATTGAAACCTCCCCTGGTGCAACTTGAGGACATTTCCTCTTGTTCTATCACTTGTTACTAGCGAGAAGAGGTTGACCCCCACCTCTCTACAACCTCCTTTCACGTAGTTGTAGAAAGCGATAAGGTCTTCCCTCAGCCTCCTTTTCTCCAGGCTAAACAACTCCAAGTCTCTCAGCTGCTCCTCGTAAGACTTGTGCTCCAGACCCCTCACCAGCTTCGTTGCCCTTCTCTGAACATGCTCCAGCACCTCAATGTCTTTCTTGTCATGAGGGGCCCAAAACTGAACACATTATTCGAGGTGCGGCCTCACCAGTGCTGAGTACAAAAGGATGATTGCTTCCCTAGTCCTGCTGGTCACACTATTTCTAATACAAGCCAGGATGCTGTTGGCCTTCTTGGCTACCTGGGCACACTGCTGGCTCATATTCAGCCAGCTGTCGTCCAATACCCCCAGGTCCTTTGGCCCTTCTAATTTTCTCCCTGCATAGCTTCACAAAATCTTTGTAGTCTTCCTGAGTGTCCTGCCCCTTCTTCCGTAGGCCATAAACTCTCCTTTTCTTCCTGAGTTCCAGCCAAATCTCTCTGTTCAGCCAGGCCAGTCTTCTTTCCTGCCGGCTCATCTTACAACACATGGGGATGGCCAGCTCCTGCATCTTAAAGATTTCCTTCTTGAAGAATGTCCAGCCTTCCTGGACTCCTTTGCCCTTCAGGACTGTCTCCCAAGGGACTCTGTCAACCAGGCCCCTAAACAGACCAGAGTCTGCCCTCCGGAAGTCCAAGGTGGCAGTTCTTCTAACCTCCCTCCTTACTTCTCCGAGAATCGAAAAGTCTATTATTTCATGATTGCTATGCCCAAGACAGCCTCCAACCATCACATCACCCACAAGTCCTTCTCTGTTTGTAAACAACAGGTCTAGCAGGGCACCTTCCCTAGTTGGCTCACCAGCTGCGTAGGGAAGTTATCTTCTACACATTCCAGGAACCTCCTAGGCTGTTTCCTCTCTGCTGTATTGTATTTCCAGCAGATATCTGGTAAGTTGAAGTCCCCCGTGAGAACAAGGACTAAGAATCGTGAGACTTCTCCCATCCTATTTAGACACCCTATTTAGAACTTAGACAGTCTTTGTTTAGGATACTCAGTTTAGTTTAAAGTTTGTTTTGACCTAACTCCCAAGAATGGACAGCAGTGGATGCAAGTCCTCCAGGGTACTTGTTTGATCTTTCCTTCTACTGATAATCTAAAAAGCGTTCCATTCATGGATTCCCCAAAACTGAGAGCCAATCTGAACTTGAGCTAAAAGAAGATTATGTCAAATATAATAGTCTAGCATCCCCAACATTTCTGTTGTCAGTGTTACCATAACGTCCATCAGGTTAAACACTAGCAAAAAGAGCGAACTGCAGAAGCAGTGTTCCAGAGAGAAATAACATTCTAGTGACAAAGTTTAGATTAATACATCCTATACACTGGAAAACCAGTTTATACAGTGAAGCTTCTGGTATATTTGTTTAGTAGATGAAGTGGTCATAATTACCCTCTTTGGATCAAAATTGTCTTTCACAGAGAAAGACTCCACCATACAGGTCTGAGCTAGGCTATATTCAACAGCAGAGAAGAGCAACGCCAGGAAAACATACTGTGCATATTTCATCCTGCAAGACAAAAATAAACATGCAGAGTCTTTTCTTGTAGCATGTATGGATAGCTAGTGCTGTGCCTACAAATTCATTCCCACCATTTTAAAAATAGTTTCAGTCCATGCTGAGCACAGTACTGTTTCACTGAGAAACCTGGATCAATGCTATGCCCGAATCCAGCCAGATCTGTTTCCCTGACCACCAATGGCAATTACTTTGCTAGAGTATTTTGCTTTCCATTAGCAGTAGTGCAGTTCACATAATTTTTACATTATAAATTGAGACAGACTCTGGATAAGGTTGATAAGAGTTGATAAAATTAGAAATTAATTGAATTTTTGTTTCGACAACCAAAAAGAAAAATGTTCTGATGAGCTCTGACAAAACCTTGTTGATTGGAAATACATAGTTTCTAAATCTTTCATAGTGCTTATCCACTTTGCTTTAAAACTGGCAAAACTGTGTTCTTTATGTTCAGTTTTCATCGCCTAATGAGGCATTTCTTGGCTGTCTGGTCTAACAGCAAAATGCATTTTAACAATAGTCTCCGTTAGATCATTTCCTCTACAAATTTAATAGATGATATTCAATCTCTGGAGGCTTTATCTCCCATTATAACACAGCTGCAAGCTGACCAAGGTTGTATTATGCCCTAGTCTATGCCAGCTCTCCCATATTCCAATATGCTTGGTCTCAACACTTTGGGAGAAGAGAGCACCTACCTAGACACTCTTGCAGAATATTTATGCCCGAATATCTGTTCTGATCTGTTTTGTTAAAACAAAAATATTTAAAACTGAGTGGAGCTACCAACCCTGGACCTCCAAACTCCCAAGCAGCTATTCTGTTCCCAACTGCAGCCACAAGCTTCAGTTTTCTGTTTTAGGAGATGCTAACCTGATTCTTCTCTGCTGAATATTGACCTACCTGTTGGGACAGTGATGCTGGAGGTCACTGAGACTACTCTGCTACAGTCTTTGGGCTGTAGTCAGCAGGAGAGTTTTGTGTGAATTGCCCTCGATCTGCCTTTAAATAATGGGTCTGCAAAGTTTCTAATTGGTTATTTTTGCTCATGTGCCTGAATAAAACGCTTAATCTTGGATAATCCATTATGTAAAAACCAACAGTAATCCCCATACTGGTGGGTCTGACTGCTATACTAATACAAACACAGCTTTTGCATAATGGAAAAAGCAGCCCAGAAAGCTAATAAGCCTGCACCACACTCTTGTCTCATTCAATTTTTTCTGGTCCTTACACATGTTAATCAGAAACTCATGGACCAGACATATGCATATGCATAGGCATGTTTTTCACATTTGCTCATTTGCCTTGGCTAGATCTAGCATGAGTGCTTCCAATACTTGCATCATCAAATTAAGGTGATCCTCCTCCAAGAGCTGATAGATATTGCACATTATCTGCTGAATGAAAAACAAGATTTTGCCTCCAAGTCCACATCAAAACCTTGGAGACCCAAGTTCCCCTATGCATCAAAACTTCTCCATACATATTCTTCCCAGGCTGTCTCATCAACATTTCAAGTTGCACAAATGCTATAGCTCTCCTTCCCCAGATGTTCCTGCTAGAACCCTTCCATGCAGGTACAATAAACCACAAATTATTAGGAAGCCAGAAAACAGTTGAAAAAAACTTTTTGGTAGTGAACTGTATCCACCTTTCTTATTTAATTTCTTTGACTGTCCAGATAATTTCTCTTCTGCACAGACTATCCATGTACCCAGACTAACCAGACTCTTTTTACCCAGAAATTCTTACTGGGGAAGAAGTTAAAAATGCAGGAAATTTGTCCAGGACTTGCCAGCTTTGACAGTTACTTCTCCAACCAGGCCGCTGGGCATCGAGAAGTCTTGGACATATCCTTTAGGCATGACTACTGTTCCTACAGAGTAAACCTAGTGAGTCCTGAACCTTTTGGTACTGCTTCAGCAGTCTGGGCATTCACAATAAGTCTGAAGCTTTCCAAATAAGTTGGACTTCCTGCAATCACTGTCCAGGAACTTTCGAACAGAAACATGCAACCTCTCCCCGTGTGTGTAATGTGTTGCTTTCCAGATAATTTGTTTAGGATTTCCCATTATATGGAAAAGACAATATTTGTTGCCAGGGGAAAATCTTATTTGAGCTGCCTCTGTGCAGATTCCACCTACATTTTAGAGGCACTGATATTCTGCATGTGCATGTCAGGGGGAAAGACTTAGTGTAATTTGTTCTTCCAAGTGTTCAGAGTGTTTTGGTGATTGTTTTGCATGCAAACCTTTCACAAACACCACCATAAGTAAAAAGGCAGAAGCTTGCTGAGCACAGAATTGCTGCTCCCCTTTCACTCCAAAAGGCATTGGCCCATTGGTCATGAGAGTTGGCTTGAACAGTACTTATTTGCACAGGATGTTCCAGGAACAAAGCTCTCTGGGGTATCAGAGCTGCAGTGGAGAAGTTACACATTGGGGAGATACATGGTTTTGCTCATTGTAGGAACGCTAAGAGCCTAGAATAGGAGCCCTTTAGAATTTTATTGTAGGGATTTAATTTTTTTTTTTAATCAGCCACATCAAAAAGTAAGTACCCTTGTGGCTAGTAGCTCACAGCAACACCTCAGGATCTACATTTCCATAGAGCTCAGCGTACTCGGTATGTGGCTTGCTTTGCGGAAGATGGAGCACTTTGGTGCTGTCCAGCATTATACTGCTGGTCCAGGAAGAATTTTTGGGAAATACCAGAGGTCCCTCCACTCCTTACCCCACCTACAGGTCTCTTAAATGCCCCTTCTCCCTGGGCATTTTGGATGCTCTTATCTGGGGACACCAAGACCTAGAAGTATAGGGAGATAAAATATGCTCAGCTGCTGTGACCAGTTCCTGGGTGCTCCATGCCCTGGGCAATGTGGATCTACCTTGTCCTACTTGAACCCTTGGCCTGTTTTTTGAGAACAATTCCAAATGGCCATTCTCAGAGATGAGAACCAGAGATCAACAGGGTGCTGAAGGGACTGCACAAGGCTGACAGCTTTCCACATTGAGTGTCAAGATAACAAAGCTCTCTTAATTCAGGCACAACTTTTCCTCATGTACACACTATACCTGTTTGGCTTCCCTGGGTAGCATCCCTTTTGGTCACATTTCTCACCAACAGCATTAACTTTGTTTAGGAGTGAAAGCAAAAAACAACTAAAGGCCCATTTAATTTCTTTTACATTGTTCTTTAAATGGCCAAATAATGTAAAGTGCTTTTTGAGGTCTGGATGCCCGTCAACTTTTCAAAGGATTCTCACCTGAAACAGAATCCAAGTGCAAAATGGTTCCTTTCCAACACAAACTGAATGCTGATTTGAGAGAGGCTGAATTGCAGCATTTTCTGTAAATTAGAAAGTCTTCAAAACACTTATCACTGTCTGTTTTCAACAAAACAGCTTAGTTTAGGTCCCTGTGACACATAGGTGACACTTGAAGCCACACTTAGGTGACCAGTTAATCCCAAAGGGATTATGCACGTTAATAATAGCTAATTACAGCACAAGATTTTGGTTGGTGGCCATAACATCTGTCACTGAATGATATGCTGTTTGCAGCAAGAAGGAAAAAAAAATTGCAATAGCCCTTCAGTTTCACAGTATTATGATAGTTCATGTTGGTCTTAGAAAAAGAGAGGATTCTAGAAAAACATCAAAGTGTATTTCTGAATCAGTTAAAACTGATGTAACATGAAAAGACCCTTCCAAAAACAAAGGGGTGAAGGATAAACTGGTTAAAGACGAGAAGGGCCAAGGACCCTTTCCAGGCCTGCCCATCATGATGCATGTCTTCAGATCAAGGTTGAGACTGTTGTTTTTCTGAAAAAGGTGGTCTGGACAAATAAAACATATGTTCCATTTACCGGACTCAGCACAGGTGTAATCAGTAGATTTAACAGTCTTGAGTAAAACATATTCAGACAAGATGCTTTAGTGATATGTTCTGCCCTATCCTAGGAGACATAGGAAAAGGAATTTTGGTCTTGGAATAAGCATTGGGTAAGCTGCTCTAGGATTTACTGCAATTGCTCTGCCAGCTTAGATTTAGCAATCTGTGCTAGCTCAGCAACAGATGGAACATTGTGAGAGCTCTAAATAGCCTCTCCTATCAGGCATTAAATTCCTTGCTGTTCAGCTAGCAACCAAATGGTGTGCTTGTTTAGTAGGGTTCTTGAGAACAACTAGATATAGATCCATTTTGAGTTGCCTTTGATAAATGGAGTGGTTATTTTTCATTAAGTAGAGATGATTTCCTGCTCTAGCTTTATGTCTAATTGATATTCTGAACAAAGCAGAGCTTCCTTACAGAGTATCTGTGGTGGGCTAACCTTGGCTAAGGGCCAGACACCCACCCAGCCGCTTGTTTGCTCCCTGTCCTCAGCAGGACAGGGGGAGAAAATAAAATAAAATAAAATAAAGGCTCATGGGTTGAGATAAAGGCAGGGAGATCACTTACCAATTACTGTCACAGGCAAAACAGATCCGACTTGGGGAAAATTTAATTTATTGCCAATTAAAATAAATTCAAGCAGTAAGAAACAGACAAACATTAAAACAATACCTTTCTTTCCCCCTCTCTCAGACTCAGCTTCATTCCTTCATTCCTGACTCCTCTATCCTCCACCTCAAAGCAGTGCAGGGGGAGATGAGAGGGGATAGTCAGTACATAACAGTTCTTCTCAGCTGCTCCTTCCCTCTCACTCTTTTCCCCTGCTTTGACATGGGATCTCCCATGGGCTGCAGACCTTCAAGAAAAAAAATCTGTTCCAGTTTGGGCTCTTCCATGGGCTGCAGCTCCTATCAGGAAAGATCTGTTCTGGTATGGGTTCTCCACAGGCCACAGTTCCTTCAGGAAATATCCATCTGTGCCAGCATGGGTTGTCCACGGGCTGCAGTGAATATCTGCTCTGGCACCATGGGGCACCTCCTCCCCCTCCTTCTGCAACCTTGGTGTTCCCTCTGTTGTTTCTCACTCTTTTTGCTCCCTCCTCCTCTCTTTGTCTGACGTTTTTGCCCTTTGTTAAATATGTTTTCACAGAGGTGCTACCAACTTTGCTGACTGGCTGAGCTGTGGCCTGCAGTGGGGCTGTTGCTGAGCTGGCTGGAAATGGCTCTGCCCAGCATGGGGCCAACCCCTTACTTCTTCCCACAGAGGCCAATTCTGCAGCCCCTCCTGCTATCAAAACATTGCTACATACACTCAATACAGTATCATATATGCATGTCTATGTATTGGGGGTACTTAGGTTTGTTACCAGATCTGCCAATGGCTGAAACATTGGCTTTTTTTTCTAGTCCCTCACCAAGGCAATAGAAAAAAGGTTTTCCCACAGTGGTAGAACACATGAAGTTCATTGAAGAACATCAGTTAAGGACTACTCCATTTATGTGACTTGAGCTCAGAATTGCTGATTTTTCCCAAATCAAGGAAGTCATACAATATAGAAGCTTGTTCCTGAGAAATCCAAGTGTAAGGTTCTTGATTGTGTTACATTATTAGATAAAAACAAATTAAATCATTGCTCTATGAATTTAAAGGTGCCATTTAAATACTTCACAGATTTAAATGGCATAAAATGAAATGTCCCTTTCCTTTCTAAACTAAGAGAATGTCATTTTCTTGGTGTGAAGATCAGAGTTTCTTGCTCTCTTGTAAACATGACATGACTCAAAAAGAGACAGTACACACATTTCTCTCCACTTATCAAGTAAAAACAGGGAGCAGCTCAAAGAAGAGAGGAGTGGACAGACACAACTACCTCTGCTAGCAAAGGGGAGACAATTCTTAATGGGAATCGTCTCTTCCATACTGTAACTACCATATACTACGAATGGAGTTTAACCCCTAGGTGACTTTCCCTGAGTTACATGAGAAAAAAGAAAGGCTCTAAAGCCCACTATTATTCTTTGCACAGCATCTGCTTCCCTCACAATTCAAATGTTTACCAAAGAAGAGACCA